TTTTTATTTTATTAGTCGGGGGACTAAATTGAGTCATTATGAAAGCCTAAGACTAAGTTAGGACATTTACTAATAGTTAGGGAACTATTTAGAGCTTTTACTCTTTTTTTATTCAAGGTAATTTCTACAAATTATAATCATCTAAATGACAATGATATAATCAACATATATGATTAGGATGGTAAACTTATCATCATTGTGTATATATAATAAGGTGTGGTCAAAGTGAGCCTATTTGTATATATGTTGACTCATAACTTTGTTGACTATTTTAAACTAGGCTCAAGAAGATTGTTTGAGCCCATAGATGATTTTCTTAATTCATATGAAAAGCCTATCTTTCCAAAGCCACTAATTTCTGTAGAGAGATCCATGTAGTCTTTTTCATTTAAGTCACAATTAAAGAGTGCATTCTTAACATTTAGCCGGTGAAGTGGCTAGATAATATTGAGTTCCATTTGCGGGACTTGAATAATGTTAAGTTTAGCTACATAAGCTAAAATTTTAGAATAGTCAATCTCATAAGGTTGAGTGAATCTTTTGTACAATAAGCTATGCTTTATACCTCTTCAATAGATCCATCAGATTGATATTTCACAATGAAAATCCATTCACAACATACAGGGATGACATCCTTGGGCCTATGAATGATTTCTAATTTTCCATTTCTTTCATAAGCCTTCATTTTTTCGTATATAACCTCTCTCCATTCTAGTTTATTAAGAGCTAGTTTTATATCCTCCCGGATCTCAAATTTTCTTAGGTTGTAGTTCTTTTTTTTTTTATTGAGGACATATGATTATATCTCATCATATTTATAAGAAGACGCTGAGTATAAGTATGAGTCTTTTCTTAGAGTAATGTGCAATTATATAAAAATATCATATGGAAGAAGAATTTGTGAACTTACAGAGTCCAGGTAGGTTCTTGACAAGCTTCAGAAAAAAAAAAAAATTGTTTCACTTATTTGTAGATTCTTCCTTTGAGAGTAAACACTAAGTTCAGAGGGGTGTTGTTGAATTGAGTTAATAGAAGTTTCTATAACCTAAACATTATCCAGTTTAGGAAGATTGTGCAAGTTTAGGAAGATTGATGCACTCGGTGGTATCTATGAGTTGGAGAAATTCAGAGGAAAAAATGTAAAAATATATTTTTAGAGAAATAAAATTTATATCCCTTTTGATTTACCCCATGCTAAAGAAAGATACTTTTGAAGGCTTTGACATTAAATTTATTCATATTAGGTTCATGATTGTGGGAAAATAGAGTGAAACAGAAAGCCAAAGGAGAAGATTAGAAATGATACAAGTATTTAGAAAGTATTTGGAAGATAAATGGACTTTTGAATTGATGCACATTCATAGACAACCAATTTATAAGGTTGCAGACTGCAAACATGGTATCGGCCTATTAATATTTATGGGTATTAATGGAGAACATAATGGATCCAGCCACTTCTAAGAGATGTCTATTTTTCATTTATATGATTTTGTGAAGAAGTGTTGGGGCTACAACTTTGATGGATAATAGTATTCTGATTTATGCAATTTTTAATTATGTGGTTAAAATACCTCATACTTCGATTAGAGTGAAGGATTTGAATTTCAGCTTATTATTTTTAACCATGTTGTGAAACTTTTTGAAAATTTGTTATGCATCATATTTATATTTTAACAAGTATAGCCAACACACAAGTGTGATCATCAATAAAAGTAATGATCATTTGGAATTAAGATTTTAAAATTTAGATGAACCCCAAATATCACTATGCACATGAGAAAGGGTTTGGTGGTTTTTATGGCTTAGGTTTGAAGATAGCTCTTTGTTATTTTGCAAGTTGGCAAATTTCATATTGGAAAATACATTTTATCACCAAACAAAGAAGGAAATAAGTTCTTAAGGCAAGGAAAACTAGGATGGCCTGCCTTATAATGCCATAATGTAACTTGATTCATTTAATTTCTATAGTAGAAAGATCATTGTTGATTGCAAAGCTACACTCTTTGGAATCTTCATCAAGTAGCATACACCAAACTTGATAGCACTACCAATTTTCTTCCCTGATCTCTGATCCTTAAATTATTGTTGTCTGCAGGAAAGAGTAAGAGAAATTTGGAACATATAAAATAAAATTTAGACAAAGCTTGGGTTATTTTCAATCATTAGCAATTTTTGACTTTAAGGTTTTCAACTGAGGGAGTGTAAGATGAGAAGGTGAGAATAATCTGCCATGCTATTTGAAGCTCAAATGTCTATAAGCTAGGATTTCTGCCTCTCTTAGCATAATTAAGAACAAGAAAAGTGCATTTCTGGGCTAAAATTGAGGTAGTTTCCTTTTCAAGAGTGACTATTTTCTATAGAAGATTCAATTGATCTTTGTTTAAGAAAATATCGCTAAGGTTTTTTTATACCTTTTCAACAGTTACTAATTTCTATAGAATATTCAATTGATCTTTGTTTAAGGAAATATCGCTACGGTTTTTTATACATTTTCATTAGTAGTTCTTCAATTTTAATTTGATAAGCATCAGTGTCTTTGTGCTAATTTTTAGGATTGTTCTATTTTTTAGTTTGAAAGTTTCTATCAAAAGTTTCTTGTATGAATAGTCTTTTTACAGGCATCATACTAAAGATTATTTTTCTTTCCATGCCCTAAGTTATGTCATGGGTTTGATTCCAGACTTCTAATGACAAGTGTGGATTCTTCAATTAAGAGAATACTTTTGGTATCTTTAGGCAACCTTCTCCGCATGCTTTCTTCCCATCAGATTTCATATATATATTTTTTTCAATTTTGGAAAGTGGATGATCCCTATGATTTTTCTGCGCACTTTATCTAGAACTTGATTAAGAACTATAGGAAAATAGTTGGTTTTCATTTTTTATAATCCACGCTCCTCACACAAATCATTTGGCTTGAAGATATCTAGCTCTTGTCAAATTTTAACGAGTGAAGTATGTTGTGACACTTATGCTTCTTTTCTTGAGGTCCCAATTATGATCTTGTAAATTACACAATTTAGCGAAATTTTCAACATCAAAATTTCAATATATCTAGTTCTTTGATATGCCCTAGGGTTCCTAAGTTTGGGTTTGCCCTAATGCTCCTTCAAAGAAAAGATTTCTCCACCAAATCCAAGAAAAATAAGCACAAGAGGGATGAGAGGAAGAACAAGAACCTTTGCATTAGAAATCCAAAAGAAACAAGATACAATTTGTCCACTTCGAGAAGGACAAGGTCTCCCACTACAAACCCTAGAAAACTTAGAGAAAGGAACTAAGGTGGCTAAGAGAAAACTCAATTCTTGCATAACCCTAGAAATCTCCCCCTATTCCTTACTTATAGCAAGCCAAAAGACCAACAAAACCCACTAGTGGGCTGCCCAAAATGAGACTCTGAAAGGTTGATAGAAAGGATGAATTAGATGAGAAATATAGGAGAAATAAAAGGGAATACTCCATGCCCTTTATTGACTGAAATTTCACCTTTTATATAGAAGTTTACCATAAGCAAAAACATGCAAGAAATAAACATATCTTAATTAGAAAGGAAAGTTACATGATGCAAATTTTTTTTGTTAAATTAAAACCTATCAAATAAAAACCCAACATCAGCCTCAATAATTCGTTGGTTGTTGTCTTGCAATAAAGCAAGGACCGCATCCTCCATTATTGCAATCTGTGGGTTGTTATTCTTTCTTGAGAAACCATTAACAAAAGCTCATTTATTGTTGCAACTTTCCTTTCATCTTGGGACGCCTGCTGCCAGCTGCAGCCCCATTGAATGTCTGCTGCCCAGCAACCATGTTCTGTCATGCCATAAAGGGAAAAGTGCAGTGGGGTGGGCGGCTGCATCATTTAACATTTTTCTATTGGTTTGGTCATATTTGTTGGTTAGTCTTCCTGCAGGGTGATTCTCTTGATCATGAGCATGCATTTATATGATTCTGTTTGTTGCCTATTGAAGTTTTTTGTTGCACATTATTGCTGAAAAGAACGAATTTGTTACCTTGGCCAATTTAATAAAGCCATAGGAGGATCCTGGTTCAGTTTTTTAGTTAAATTTGGATGGAGACTAATGTATAAAGTGAGTGAAACAACTGCTGCAATTTGTTGAGAGGGGTTTTGGACCTATCAATTGAAAGATATTTTATATTCAAAATAATTCACTTTGATCATATCACTGTTATGACACATATTTTATATTCAATAGTATTTTCACTTAATAAATATATATTTTGAGCTGCTATTGTATTGCGAAATACGTAGTGCTAAAACTTGAGGAAACATCTAACAGAGATTTTTTCTCCTAATGGGTTTTTACAAGAACTGCTGTACACTATAAGTTTGAACAGGCCTAATCACTGATCGGTTAACTTAGCTATGCTTTCTATCCAAGACATTCCGTCTGTATTCTTGTATACCATGTTCCTTTGGTGGGTGTGCTTGAAGCAAGCGTATCTGGGCTAAAGTATCAAGCAATTGTTTAAGGAGTTTTTCAGGTTGATGCCACTTTTTCATGTGCCTTGTATCTGTGTTAGATCAACATTTTATGTCTTCATAATGGACACACTCTTTGAGTTTTTTTAAGTTGAATTTGATCTTTGATATTGGACGCTGAGTGTGAAAGTTCTAGGCATGAACTTGGATGTAGCTTGTCAGAACAATGAATTTAATATTGTAGCAGTTGAGCGCATTAAGGTCCACTATAGTGGCACTGCATCACTCATTTGAGAGAATTCCCACTTGCATTTACTCGTAATACTTGATCTGTTTAACATATAAACTGATTTCTTGCTTCTGTGCGTTGCCATGCACGGGACCAGTGTAATATCAGTAGGTCCATGGCCTCTGGCTCTCATGTAATTGTAACAAAAATGGATCACTCAGGTGAAATTTTTCATTTTCCTAATTGCAGTTTGTTAATGATTAAGTTAACCTTCATGTTGTCTCTCTTTCTCTGGTGGATGACCAATAACACATGAATCATCTTTGAACAGGTCAGATTTCATTTAGTGAGGTATCTATCCCTCCAGATATCACATTTTATGTAGATGGAAGACCTATTGAAGCTCATCGGGTAATCTTAAGTGCAAGATCACCCTTTTTTAAGAGAAAATTTGAGTTAGATTGGAAAGAGAGAAAAGAAGTGAGATTCTCCAGCCAGAAGCTATCTTATTCTGCTTTGTACAGTCTCATCCATTTCTTCTACTCTGATAGGCTTGAAGTTGCAGTGGATGATATGGAGGATCTTGCTCGCACATGCAAAGCCTGCCAATGTGAAGAACTGCAGAAAATTGTGCAAAAGGAATTTATTCATCAAAAATATGCAGAGTATAAATCATTGAAGGAAGTGGATAATTCCCAGAAAAGGTTTATCTTGCAAGGTTTGTCTTTACCAGAGGAGGATAGACTTCCTTCTGCTTTGCGTCAAATTCTACAAACTTCCGTTGTCAAGTCTCTTTACAAACATACAGATAGTAATTTATATGAGTTGCACATGGGCCAGTATGGTGATGATCTTGCTGATGTTTGTATAAAAGTAGGAAAAAGAATTTTTCGCTGTCACCAAGTTATACTGGCATCCAGGTCAGAGTATTTTAAGGCTAGGTTGTCTCGCATGACAGATTTCCTGGAAAATAATGATTGCCTATCAAGCTCTTCCGTTCCATTTTTGGAGGAGCATGAATTAAGTACAGAGGTGTTTGAGAAGATGATAGAATACATGTAAAAATACCGATCCCTTGCTGTCTTATTCCCCTTTAAAATATTCTGTTCCATTATTCTCTAGTATGCACTTTATTTTTGAATTCAGGTACACCGATGGCTTGACGGATGTGGATCCTGATCAGGTTATTCTGCTTGCTATTATAATGAACAAAAAACCTATTGCGTTAAATTCTTTCTTGTGTGTATTTAGGTTATTAATACACAGTTTTGATTGGTTAGGCAGAAGAAATGTTTGATGCTGCTTCAAGATACTTGTTGTTTTCTCTTAAGCGAGCTGTTGCCGATGCATTGTTATCTCACTTGGAAATGGCATCTCCTGCAGAACTCTGTAACTGGGTGATATTATCTGACATGTAAACTTCATTACAGTTTTATTGTTACCATTACAAATATGCTTTTTTTTTTTATTAAAATGGAGTTTTTTTAAACTATCCTTGAATTTTGTATGGTAATATCATGAAGAGCATTGCTATCTATTTTATTGTTTTTGAAGATGGAATACATAAATTATATCGATAAGCACATATAATTTAAATCGGACGGTTTGAACTGTGATAGAAACTACTATCATCTTCATTAGCAGCTTTTTTTAGATTTGCTACTTCGAAAATCAAGAGAGTGCGCCCTGTCTATCTAGTACATGTACATGCCCTCTTCATTGAGAGATTATTCTGTGCGGACGCTGAATGCAGTTCACCGTCCGAAGACCGACCTGATTGCGTCATGTTAGCGGTACCGAGCCGCGGTATTGAGCAGTACGGAGTTGGTTACCAAGCAGGGGGTGACGTGCGCATTCTGATTGGTCTCTGGACGGCGTTCGGCGTCCGCACAGAATAATTTCACCTCTTCTTGGCATTCTTTTTCCAATCTCTATGTTGAACTCAAAGAAATTTGAGAAGAGTAGTTGGTGATCATTTTATGGTTTTAAGTAATGTAAATCATCTAGAATTTGTTGCTTCTTTCTTCGGCAACCAGTTTTATAAGCGTGTTTCTCAACATCAAAAGTTTTGGGAGGTTCGTCTTCTTCTCATAATCCATTACGTTGTTGAAATGGCCTATGGAATCTTGCAGGTACGGGGTCATGAAGATTAGAGAGTACTGTTTAGATATCATGGCATGCAACTTTGAGACATTTGCCGAGACGCAAGAATTTAGGGCGATGCTGTTGACCCTTCCTCCACCTTCTGGAGACTCCTCTCTTCGTACCACGCGCCCTAGTGCTCCTGGGTCCATAGATTACTCCGGTCAAGCCAATCTTCTTGATGACTTGCGAGAGAAGTGGCTTGAGGCTGAGGGTGCAGAACTTGATAAGAGAGATGACAGTGCAGTTCAATTTGATAAGCGTCTTGAGATGCTTATGCTCATGGCAGAGAATGAGGTCGGTGATATCCATTGTTATTTTGTTGATAAGGTACCCAATCTTTGAAATTGAATCCTTCTGTTTTATGTTTCCTTTTCACGATTATAATCAGGTTAAATCATTCTGATGCTTTTCGCATCAGAAAAGTTTAAGCAGAGTATTGTTGCAGAACATCAGTCCATGCCGCGGGAAGGCTCTTAGGTATGTCTGTTGTTTTGTGTTTGTGACGATTTTGTCGGGCACGTACTGCAACTGGAATATTGAATGTAAAAACGTCTTATAGAGCACTACGTGCTTTTATGTGATGTATATAAAATTATCATAGTTCGATGGGAAAAGTTTCATGGCTCTCTTTTTATTGAAACGAGAATCTTTGTTCTTACTTTGATGGCTGGGTAACATTTGAGTTTATATCAAGTGGATATTGATCGAGTTCTATGTCAAAATAGAATTTTTTTTTTTAATTTTTATTTTTTGGCTCAAAATCAGCTAGAAATCTAAGGTCTTGTTCTGGTCAAATTTTATTTTTTATTTTTCAAAAATAATTAAAATGAAGATGAATTACGCCCTTTCCTTCCCTGTTTTTGTTCTTCACAAGATTTTTAAATTCGGCCTTTTCGACATTCTATTTCTGCACTCATGTACCTTATTCCTGTTATTTTAGTTGTTATTTTAAGTTTTCTGCCTTTAAGAGCAATGAATATCTCTTGTTCTTCTTCAATCTGCCATCATCTCTGAATTTCTGATTTACTATTTCACATCTCCATTTTTTTTCTCCTCTTCAATTTTAAAGATTTATTCGTGTTCATTTTTTTGGTCCCGCTTTTTTAAGGCTTTAATGCTTGCAATATTTTTTGGTATTCTGGTTTTTGGAACTACATAAGCATACGAGTTATTCTCTATCTCGGATCTTTCATTCTGGATTTTTGTCGTCTATAATGTTTGCCCTATGCTTTCAAAAATTAGGGAAGAATGCGAGTTAAGTCTATTTGAGTCAAAAAATAACAATCAGGAATTGATTTTTTATTTTTTTTTCTGTTAAGCACAATTAGATTTTCAATTTGTTTATATGCATGACCCTTAGGCATTTTTTAGCAATGAGGTTAGGACTTCATCATTCTCATTGTATAATATATGATTTAATGAAAGAAGCATTTTCTCTATTTTTTTTTTTTTCAAACAATAAAATGCAATATCATATTCTCTCTTTAAAAGACGGGATTGTTTGGCTATACCTGGATTTTAACTCAAAGTAGAATTAAAAAAATTATGTAAATTAAAATTTATTGAATTTTGTGCTAAATTTTGAATGCTGTTTGTGAAATTTTTATACATTATTTGGCTATTTAGTTTGAGATTTAGGATTTAAATGATTATAAAAGGAATAAAGCTTTGTAGGCTGCACTGATGCCGATTTCCTTGCTAGATGAAATGAAGATAGGAAAGCGCCGTGAGGGGCCGTGTCAAGTAGGAACAATTATTACGTCCTCCGATCGGATGCAGAGGAACATCCGGTTGTAGGCAAAAACGCGCTTATACCGAGGTGTACCGAGTTTTTTGAAAAACTCGGTACACCTCGGTATAGGCGCGTTTTTGCCTACAACCGGATGTTCCTTGCATTCGGTCAACTGGACCAAATAAAATTCCGTCAAGTAGGGTTCTGCATGTGCTGGTGATGAGTAAAGGGTGGACCAATATAATAGAGAAGAGGATCATAAGAATATGCTCTAGATTTTGGAGAAGTAGATTGTAAGAGGAGAAGAAGATTATAGAGCTAGTGGGCACTGAGTTGCTCTGAGAGAAAAGATAATTAGCTAGAGATATATAAATCTGTTAAATATCGGGTCTCATGATATTCAAAATTTAGCATTAAATTAGAAAAGGAAAATTGACTTTATATGTTTTCATAATGCATATGTTTGGACAAATATCTTTAATATATATTTATTTGAAAAATATATCTGAAAGTACATTTTGTTTGAAAGATTGTTTGGACAAAATATGTCTGATAGTTCTTTTTTTTTGCTTTGAACGTATACATGTATATATATTCTCATTTACTCTCCCTTGTATCATTCTCTAAGTGCTTTCTACGAGCTCTCTTGATAGATGCCCAACTTAAGACCTTCTAATTATGCCGACATGGACATTAAGAAGTTGAGGAAATCTTTCTCTGTAAAAGGAAGTCAATGAAAGTTGAGGGGAACTAACCAACCCACAAAGAAGTAAGCAACTGTGGTTAGGTCGAGTAACCTTGCTACAAAGAAGCCAAGTAAGGATGTAGAAGTACAGCCGAGCAAGGCGATAAAAGGCCAAAGAGACTTAGCCTAGTAAGGCGGTGATATTTAAGAAAAGCAAGTTGAGGGTAATCCTCTCCTCAAGCTTTAATGATGTGCCTCTCATTGAGAGGTACGCTAAGAAAATCTCTATATTGTAAGGAGCTCGTTAGCACAAACAATGGTGATCGTTATTCCTAAGGTAGCAATTCTTGATCTAAAAGTGGCATAGATTCAATCTCAAGTGGAACCCACCAGTAATAATGAGCCCATGTTGATTGTAATATTCATTGTCTTGAAACTCGGGTAATTAAAGTTAATTAAGTTAAATACTCATTTGTAGTTGATGTAATGTGCAACTGTAAGATTTAAAATGTGCAATGGGGCTTGAATGAATCTAGGTTGAGGTTGGAAAAGTGAAAATCCAAGGCTTGAAAATTTCTCAGCAGGTGCCAAGGTTGGCACCGTTGCGGTATCGAGGTTTTGGGTGTGTGCTACTATGTCGAGATGTACTATCCTGGTGTTGAATCTCATGTGAGGATATATTGGGAGCATATGGAAGGTTATTTAGGACCTACGACGCTGGAAAGGTAAGTGTCATGACACTAAGTCCAAATAGTGGAACTATAATTTTAAAATATCTAAAATCATTTGCCATCTTTCATTCACCACAGCTGCCTTGCCTAAGAAGATAAAAGGAGAAGGGAAGGAGAAAAGATAGAAGAAAAAGTGAGGGAGAGGATTTGGAGGCAAAAGCTCGGGTTTTGAAAGTCAGGCCAGTTAAGAAACTTTATAAAGCATGATTTTGACTTTTGAATCCCTATCTATAATCTTAATTTCCCCTATTTTATAGAAAGTTATGGATTAAAATGTTTTTGTCTTTGGATTTTACAACTTTCTCAATGTGTAACCTTTTATACACTGTTTTATGCTCTATTTTGAACATTTTGATTATAAAAATGCGAATATTTATCGGTTGAGTTTTTGGCAGCACAAATTTTTGAGTATATATTTTGGTTAAAGCTTTTATGGCAATTGAAATAACTATTTAAAAGTCTTAAAATATTCATATGAATGCCCATTTGAAATTGGAAATGAAACAAGAAAAATTCAGTGAGTATGCTGGTATACATACAATTTAGATTTTTTACAGGAAATTCATGTATTAATTGGACATTACATTAGATTTATATTTTTTAATTTCTATTGCATTGCATTTACATTGAGCATAACATGGCATTGGAGATATTTTAAATGTGAAAAAATGCACTCTCTATTATGTGATAAGGGCCTTGAATGTTTTATTCTCTCCCCATTTCCTTAAGGTAGATGCGGGAGGGATTTTTGCCTCACTTGTGGTGTGAAAGGTAATGTAACACTATACGTATTCTTCTAGCCCCTTCAGCTTAGGGTAGATTTGGAAGGGATTTTGACCTCACTCTCTATATGTGAGTGTATGAGGAAAAATGGCGACATATGTGAAAGTGGAGTTATAAGTAAGCGAAAGAATTTAATAAAAATAATATAATTTTGCTCTTTTTGATTTTTATGACAAATATTTTATTTATTTTAAATTTTAAATTTTAATTTCTTTTTCCAATAAAAATCAAACCAAACAAAGCTTGATAATCAAAATATAGATTTATAGGAATAATAAATGTTCAAGAAATTAAAATGCAGGAAAAATAAAATGCTAAAAGTAAATTACAGTACGATCATGGGATTGTACAATATGATTAGTTTAATATTTATTATATTGTATAGGAAAAACTCCAGGATGATTGGAAATCTTCTCTTCCATTCATCTGATATGATTTACGTCATATTGTAAGATTAGTTCAATAATTAAGGTTTCATCTAGGACAATCACTGGGACGACCACATTTTATCTATACTAATCGTCCAGTATGATCGGCATTGCACTATATGATTTTTAATTTTAATTAAATCTTGATTTACTTTACTAATTACATGTATTAAATTAGGTAATGATTACACATCCTATAGTACAATATCGTTCATACTATATGAATAGCTTAAAATTCAAAATTTAAATTATTACTTAATTTAATTTATGGAAGGGTTTCTAATTGCAATAGATCGTCCAATACGATTTGGTGTTTGTACTATACGATTAGTTATATTTCAAAATTATTTTCTCAGTTAAATTAAATATTTTAATTAATTTTTGTAGCAGTAGATCATGCAGCTGTAGAATAATTAAAATATTTATAATTTTAATTTTTCACTCCCCATTGTATATGTGTGCATCATTGTTAAGCTACTAAGCACCCTTTACAAAAAAGAGACGTAAGAAAAGATAAAATTACAGACTCTTGAAAACATCAATCCTATACTACTTAGTCTTGAGCTATGATTTTTTGGAAGTGCTTGGTGTATGTTTAACTTGAAATATTAGTACACACAAAAAATATATAGAATAATAAATCATAGGAGAAAGTAAATACAATCCAATAATATTTATTATCATCAAAATATAAGTTCAGGCTCCTGGATTCCAATAATCTCTTTCTTTTTGATGATGACAAGCATTATTGGATGGATTACAAGTTAATTTTAATTTTCTCCTAAGTTCTGTCCCTTACTAAGTAACCTCTTTTTAAAAATTAGGGATATATATATATATTAATTTAACATCAACATAACAACATAAACTAAAATCAATGCATAAATAAACACTAATCAAATTAATCAACATAATATAGCCAACAACCTACTACTCCCCTTTTTGGCATCACTAAAAAAGGAGAACATTGAACAAACAACAATAACAAAAATATGAGAACTACCAAGAAGAGAAATAAAAATAAGCAACAAAGATAAGGCACACTACTCATAAGAAGGCCCTTGATGAGGTAGTTGTGGAAGTGGCTGAAAGTATCGGTGAAGGTTTAAAGGTATCATTAATACCAATTGAAAGTTCAAGTAAGGTTGTTAAACCTTGTTGAACTATCCTAGGCACACCGGGGGGAGGGGTGGGGGCGTGAATTGGTTATTTAAAAATTCTCTCAAAGAAACCTTTTTAATTATTTAAACCAATT